CCAATAGACATACTCCAAGCACATGAATGAGTCTCTCTTATTGTTTTCTGGCTTTTAAACCTCAGTTTCAGTGATCTTCAAAACGAGGTGAAAGTCGAGCTAAGGATCAGAGATAACATTTTTCACTTGGAAGCCATTATCCATCAATTTGTAAGAAGCAAATTTTAATGTTCCATCAACATTAAAATGCAAATGAAAGGAATTTCCTCAATGAATAAATTTGGGATTACAATGGAAGGAAACTTGTAAAAGAAATAAATTAAAAAAACTTGCCTAATAAATTAAATGTTCATTACTCTTTGCACTGAAAAAAAATGTACTCTATAATTTCATGAAAATATACCTATAATTTAGACATACCTTACATCTTCATGACTTAAAAGTCAATCTATACTTTTCATGTTCATAATAAAACCAAAATATTTGGTTGTCTATGAATTATCACCTATCAAAGCTAGTGATGAACATCCGTAAGATCATGCCTTTCTTTCTAGAATTTTCCAGTATTCTCCTTGCTTTCAACACTATTTTAGATCACAAGGGTTGATCTATTGGTTCAAATCCTACTACCAACCCAAAATATTATAAAAAAAGTGTTTTGATTTACATTTAAATAAGCCATCTGGTATTCCAAGTGCATCCAAAAATTCTGCTAGTTTCTCAAGCAACTACAAAGCCACTGGCTACTAACTATGAATGATGTGTACATACACCACTAAAAAGAAGCCAGTTAGAGGTCAGAAAAAATTAAAAAACAAAAAAGTTAACCAGAAAGATTTCCAGAACCATAAGTTTAGGGCATACCAAAGAACATTGCCACCATTATCACAAATTGCACAGACAGGATCAAAAATGGACTTCCCTACACCATCAAATTCTTCACCTATGTCATCATCATCATCATGATCCTCATCTACATCTCCATCAACTATAAAGTTATTTTTCTTAGGTGTATGGACATCCTGTTAAATCACGCCCAAGTCTTTGGGTAAAGTGGGGAAAAGAAAAAATACAAGGCTCAAAATAAAGGGTACACGCATGTAATAGAAATAGAGCACAAGGTAAGAATAACATGTTGGCAGACCTGATGAAAAGTTATATTGGTCTGAGGCACCTGCAAAAATTAAGCACATTCTCTTCCAAATAAATTGTTGATTAGTTTCTAAATATCAGGGTGTTCGTATACACACTTATTAGAGCATGTGAATCAGATTGACATTATTTGCGCATGTTGACAACTCTATATGTGCTTTCAGAGGCGGCAGATACAGGCAGACCTCTAATATGAATAGCAGTATACAATCATATTACAATTAACTTACCAAATTGATTATGAAAAAAGATAGTTTCGAGTAGCTAACAAGTTCTCGTTGTTAGTATGTAAAGGGTAAAGTGCGGAAAAGGAAAAATACAAGACCAAAATAAAGGGGAAAAGGCTTGTAATATAAACAGTGCACAAAGTAAGGATGACGCGTTGGCAGACCTGATGAAAAGTTACATTTGTCCGAGGCACCTCCAAAAAATTAAGCACATTCTGCTCCAGATAAATTGTTGATTAGTTTCTATATATCAGGTTGTTCATATACATACTTATTAGAGCATGTGAATCAGATTAAAATTATTTGTGCATGTTGGCAACTCAATATATGCTTTCAGAGGCTGCAGATACAGGAAGACCACTAATATGAATAACAATAAACAATCATGTTAGAAGTAACTTGCTAAATTGGTTAAGAAAAAAGATAGTTTCAGAGTAGCTAACAAGTTTTGGTTGGCAAAGTGTAAAATGCAATTGTCATTTAAAATGTAAACAAAGATAGGGTGGTTATAGGTAAAAATTGCAACTTAGCCTCATCAAGTGAGTTATCTAACAAGAAAAGAAATTACAAAGAAGAACCGGCTTTATCCATCCTACTTGAATTGAATCCTAAATCTTATTTATATGACAACTATTACTGGAGTAACAGAATTGCATATTGAACCACACTTCTATCAATGGCAAATTCACCGGGACAAACAAATTCCTTAGCTCAGCTAAAATAGATGCCACAGAACTGAAAGCAACTAAATATGTTTCCGAGGTCTTTCTGTTCATACAAAGTGAAACTCTTAATCCTTGACACGGCTAAAAATATTTAGGTTATGATGTCCTAGACAAATATTATCATGTTTGTTTCCGAAGTTACAGCTATTCAAGACAAGTAGCCAATAAAAGGAAAAAAAAAAAGCAGAGAGCGAGAGAGAAACTGATCTGATAATTGATGAGATTTTGCAATTTGAAATTAACGGCTTATTTCTTTTTGGTCAAAATCATACCTTTAGGCCCAAGAACTAGCATATTCAATCTTAAGCTATATACCCAATTGATGACTTACAAGACAAGTACGAGATTTTCATTCATGTGTGTGTTTATTACATGTATATATGAATTTATACAGATTAGTTTAGAGTGTAATTGCGTTTGGTAATTCTATTGTGTATATAAACCCAATGAGAGATCATTGTCGTGACATGAGTAGAGAGACATGCCCATAGTAGCACGAACCTGAGACTTTGCCAAGTCTTTATCCCTTTTCACAGCTTCACCAATTAAAAGCTTGTGACACAAGAGGTCACTCTCGGAAGGTTCAAACTCATAAAAGCTGTACGCCACCGAAAAAAATATTAATATGAACAAAATTGCACACAACTTCAAACCACCTTTTGTGAAAATAACCAACAAAAAATTGAAAAAAAAAACAAAATTGAAACTTTGTGGGCGCAAAGAGAACAACAGAACCATTTAGAGAGGAGCAACCTGAAGACTTTTTGCAAGTGGTTCCATACAGAGTTTGCTGATACCTCTGTGTTCTTTTTCATGAAATGCATCCAATGAATGGTGATCAGGATTGTCCTAATCATCCTTTGGAAACTCTTCCTAGGCTTTTGGAGTGTTATCCATCTCTTGTTCTTGGAAAGCACCAAAATTTCAGGCAGCACATAAGATAGCTCAAATTTCCATGCAACAACTTGCTTGTAAATCTTCTGAAGCCCATTGTCAGCGTCTCCGTGTATGAAAACATGGGTTTTAAGGTCATCAATGACCTCATTTTCACTCCATTGGAGAGGCAAAACAGCAAATGAAATTGGTGCACCATTTTGATCAACGAACTCATATTCCAAGACATGAATATCCGGAAAAATCTCACCTTCTTCGTCAGATGATGCCATTATACTTATCTGGGAAAAAGAAAAAGAACAAAACTGCATTGAACTCATTAAAAATACACTTAAATATACAAATAAATAAGATTGTAGCTGCAACTTGAACATAAAGGCGCCATTGGTGCTAGTTATTTAGCTTGATTAAATATGAGAAAATAGTCAAAATAACACAAACTCATCTCTTATAAAGTAAAATCACCTGTTGTGTCATTCAGAAAAAATAAATATATTTTTCTAACAATCTAAAAATATTAGTTACTTTTGCATCTAATTGCACTTTCTGCTTTTGGCTTCCATAATCAAGACGTAAACAACAAAATTAACAACCAAACAAAACCTAAGCTAAATCAAAGACTAGTCTTTTAAAATAGTAAAAAAATAATTTAACACAAAAGGTGATATATATTAAGCCCATAAACTATTCCATTGTACCCCATTAAAGTATGCAACTAGAAAAAAAAAATAAACACTATACATATATTGAAAGAAATACTGTTATTTTCCTAGAAATTAAAGGTGAAGAAAAGCTGCTTTCTTGAGTTCCAAACAAAGCTTAAACCCTCAAAACCCTTATTTATTTTCCTTTTACTTTCTTAACAACCAAAAAAAAAAAAGCAATGCTTCGTAAACATAAACAAAAAAAGAAACTCGCAAAAAGAAGGAAATGATTACAAAAACCTTATAATTATCCTAAGAAAAACAAGAGCGTAGTAATGAGGGTTTGAAATGAGAGGAGTTAAAAGATAGAGAGAGAGAGAGAAACGTTCGATTTTCAGTGAAAAATAAAACCCTAGAAAACTTGTTTGGAGAGGGAGAAAATTGGGGTAAACGCAGGAGAAGTGGAAGGTGGCCAGATGAACGCTGAGTTGCTGTGAGGTAGTAGGACTGGGAGAAAGAAAAAGCTGGGAACTCAACTGTTTTTGGCAAGTACGGAGTTGGTATCTTCTACGGAAAAAGTTTACGTTTTACCATGCTGTGTCTTGCTCTTATTGGTTTTCTTATCGCTGATCCATTTCTTTCATGACACGTGTCACTGGGATTTTATCAAGGGCTGTGGTAAGGCGCATGAAAATTCCATGACCTTGAAAATTTATCCGACTTTATATAACATGTATACTATAACAGAAAAAAAAAAAGAACCAAGTTTTAAGAAATTTTAAGCCATTGTCGTACTAACTTTTAGAACGTACCATCTCGGCAAAACATATATATATATATATATATATATATAAATGTTAACTTTTGAGAAAAATAGATAACTGGCCTAATTATTTTTTTTAAATTTAGATAAAATGTTTTAATTTGTAACATAGAGCACTTCACCAAAAGAAAGAACATAATCAAGCATACCAATTTATTTTATTATTAAAGCGAAAGGAGGTATTTGTTTCTCAAAGTTTCAAAATTTTTAATTTAGGTAAAAAGTTCATTTAAGTTTTAAGATAAAACTATAAATAAGTTATTTCAAAAAGTGTTAATATGCAATAACAAATATTTAATGTGTTTTCTTTTATTTTATCATTTTACCTTTCAATAATTCCTACAATCATACAAGAAGAATTATATTTTTTTACATCTATTTTTTTATTTGATTTCAATGAATTTTTTTTCTCTTGTTTTTTATTTATTTTTTATTTTAAGGATTATAATAATTTGATTTAATAAAATTAAATGTTTTATTTTATTTAAACTAAATTTTTTATATATATTTTAGGATACTTTTACATGAAATTTAGCTGACACTGTTATAAATAAATGAAGAGGGTACCTTGCTATAAAAAAAAAAGGGTAAATGTTGGCATGGCAGGGAAGGAATCCGTTTCCGTTAAGACAAAAGTATCATCAATCCAACCATTAAAACCCAAAATCTCAACCGGAAACCGAAAATCATCCTCCGAGACTCACCATTTCCCAAATGCCCCCATCTCCACCTCATTCCTCCTCCTGGACCATCTCCCCCGACCTCGACGACATCGACCTCGACGCTTCAGACTTCACCGCCTCCGTGCCCCTCAAAAAGGTCCCCAACGGAGACGTCTTCGAGTCCTCTCGTGCCGGCGACGTCGACCGTCTCCATTACCTCCTCGAGTCCGGTGTCAACGTTAACGCCCGTGATAACTGGGACTCCGTTGCCTTGTATTACGCTTGCTTAGCTGGCCACTTGGATGCCGCCCGTATGTTACTGGAGAATGGAGCCATCTGCTCCGAACATACGTTTGATGGAGACAGGTGTCACTACGCTGCTTTGAACTTGAAGGTTCGGAAACTTCTCAAGGCTTTCGAGGCCCGTCCTCCGCCTCTTGGGCCGTTGCAGGGTGCCCTTAGGGACACTTTCTTGAGCTGTGGGGCTAATCAGGCTTATCTCGACCAGGCTGCTGAGAGTGGATTACATTTTGAGGTTTCAGGTCAATTACCTTTTTTTTTCAAATTTATTTATTTTTTGTTTATTGTTGATTTTTGATATGGGATTATTTGGAGCAAGCTGGTGGTATTTAATTAAACTTGATTATTGATCTTATTTAGTGGTGAAAGGTAGCTTGGCTAGCTTAGTACTATTTCTGTTTTTTAAAGTTGGAATTGCTTGAAAGCATAGCATGCGATTAGTATGGACTCAACGTTTGGGAATTAAAGTTAAAAAATCAAATTGAATTAAGGTTGCATCAGTAATTTTAACAAATGAAGTGATTTAAGAAGGAAATCTAGCAAACTTTGCACTAAGAGTTTTGTTCAAGTCTTACCATTTTGTGGTCTGATGGTGCATACACATTTAGGTGTGGAAATTATGATTTATAGTGTTTGGATCGATGGAGGAGAACAGAAGGGAAAGGCTTGTTAAGATAGAAGTGATTTGTAAAGGGAGAGGCTTGATAAGATAGAAGTGATTTGTAAAGTGAAAGACAATTCTTTCTACTTAATTTGGATTGGATAGAAGTTGATTCTGAGAAATGAGATAATGAAATGATAATAGAATTTTTTTTTTTCAGTATATTCTTCATGACTTTAGGGGATGTATATATAAAATTACCAGGAGTTGAATAGCATGCACTATTTCTCATTTCTAATTATTGAAAGATTTTCAAAATTGTGGATAAGAGTTGCTCCTCTGTTCTTGATTTTGCTAAGTAAGAGTAATTTCATCGTTTCACTTCTCTTTATTTCTGTCAATTCAAAGATGATGTTATAATGGAGAAGAGAGAAGATTGGTTTAAGGTCATCTGCTAATAAAAACTAGCATCAAGAGTGCATTAATGATGCGTTGAAGCTCCCCCTTTTTGATTTACCAGAAATTCATGTATGACCTCTGGCTGCTGAGATTAGAAAATGATTGCAAATTTTATGGTGATTGATGGTAACTGACTAATGAAAAGTCATGGCATACTTATCCAGAATGATAAAGGAATGTCTCAGGCACTGATGGTCTTGCATAAGTTCTATCAGCTTGTTGCTAATTATTTCAAGTCAAATCTTTAAATTAATTTGAACAATGGTGCTTGTAGATTATTTTTCTTTTTAATGAGCATGTAGCCATAAATGGCTCAGTATTTCATTATATTTATCCGTAGAGTCAATCGATTTCCTTAATGATGTGAGTGTGACAGCTAGCTTTGAAAGAGCACTTTGCTTCTCCTAATTTGCTTTTCAATCATTTGGGAAGGCTTTGCAAGTATGAATATCAGAAAACAGTAGAACACTGCAATCTTTGATGAAATCTTAAGTATGAAACTTGAAGTTATTGCTTTTGTGCTTTATTGGGCCCAAAAATATCAGCCAAAATTTTGGTTGCAAGTATTTTTCTTCTAAGAACAATATGCATATATGAATCTGAGACCTAACATGTAATATTCAATTAGGTCTTGCATCAAATGGGGCATCAAGTTCCTATCAGTTCCCCCCAGATGTTGTATTTTTTGTGCAAGGCAGACCCATTGAAGCTCATAGAGTTGTTTTAAGTGCCCGGTCACCATTTTTTAAGAGAAAATTTGAAACAGATTGGAAAGATCGCAGTGAAGTGCGATTTTCAAGAGAAAAGTTATCTTATCCTGCTCTATACAGCCTCATCCACTTCTTTTATTCTGACAGACTAGAGGTTGCTGTAGATGATATGGAAGATCTTGTGAGAATTTGTAAAGTATGCAAATGTGATTCGTTACAAAGGGTTCTAGAGAAAGAACTGATTCACCAAAAATATGCTGAATACAAAGCACTGAGAGACGTGGACAACTCTCAAAAACGGTTTATTTTGCAGGGCCTGTCCCTCCCTGAGGAAGACCGGCTTCCTGCTGCCTTGCATCGGGTCCTTCAAATTTCCCTGGCAAAGTCTCCCAAGGAATGCGACCTAGACAATGGTGTTGATACATTACAGTATTATGTTGGTGCAATGCAGATAAGTGACTCTCTGGATGATCTTGCAGATGTTTGTGTTAGAGTTGACAAAAGGATTTTTCGTTGCCATCAAGTTGTTTTGGCATCAAGATCAGAATATTTTAATGCAAGATTATCTCGTATGAAAGATTTTCATGAAGGGAAAGATGAGTTAATTAGTGATACCCTTCCATTTCTGGAAGAACATGACTTGAGTGCTGAGGCATTTGAGAAAATGATTGAGTATATGTAAGGTTTTTTTTTTCTTTTACTTTTTATGTTTTACCTCCTTATTGTAGCGTAATTTTGGATTTCTTTTGATTATAATACTGAAACTATACCTGAATTGGTCCTGTGGTTGGAACATTACTGCTACTGGAGTAGGTCTCTAAGCTGTCTAGGGTCACAGATCATGTTGGCAAAGTAATGAGAGATCATTACCAACAAAAGTAATGATCTCTTACCTAATATTCTTTGCAGCAGGATCAAGCATGCTTTAGTTCTTTGAACCGTTATGTATAATGTGGTTAGTCATTTTCTCTCATCTTTAAGAACTTGTCATGGAACTTATTATAGCTCCATAACTGCTTCAGGTACACTGATGGTTTGACAGATATAGATCCAGATCAGGTATCATATTTTTTTTTATGTATGTGGCTCGTGGACATTAGTTGAATGGTACCTAATATTAATTATTCTAATTGACCAGGCAGAGGAAATGTTTGATGCTGCTTCTCGGTATCTATTATTTCCTCTTAAGCGTGCTGTAGCTGATGTATTGCTCCCACACCTAGAGATGGTCTCACCAGCAGAATTGTGCCATTGGCTAATATTGTCTGACATGTATGGTATATCTGCCTTTTATTTTCCTTCAAAATCTTAAGTAAGAGATCAATTCTTATCTGATTAAAAAATATTTAAATTAGATAGCTATTATTAGATTAGATACATTTTCTGGTCTTGGTGATGAAATTTAAACTTGTGTGTTATTATTAGAATGATTCACTGATTGTTGAATGAAACTTTGGGAGTTGCAGACTCTTGATGGACTTGCAGCTTTTACTTAGACTGTGTAATGTGTTGGCACTCACTTTGCAGTTTGTAGGCTATTTAGATTCTGATATTATCTCATAGAGGCGATATCTCACCCTCCTCATTAAATAGGTTATGCATGGGAACTCACTCAGGAGGCAGAATTGAATCGAAATATTTTATAATGAATTCAAAACCATTTTAAAGTAGTATCTTTTATTATAACTTTTTCAATAATGCCATTATCAGCCTTGGACTTGTAGTTTTGACTACAAAGATTTTTTATTTCAATTCACATGCATAGGTATGGTGTTCTGAAGATAAGAGAGTATTGTCTAGATACCATTGCTTGTAACTTTGAGACATTTGCTGACATATGTGAGTTCCGAGCAATGCTTTTGACACTGCCGCCACCATCTGGAGATTCCTCACTCCGGACAACTGTTCCAAGTGCCCCAGGAGCTGCAATTAATACAGACCAAGCAAATCTTCTGGATGATCTTCGGGAAAAATGGCTTGAAGCAGAAGGTGCTGAGCTTGACAAGAGAGATGAGAGCGCTTTACTCTTTGATAAGCGCCTAGAGATGCTTATGCTTGTAGCAGAACAAGAAAAATCTGTTCCTTCTGCTGAAGATGGCCAAGATTGCTTTATATGAGTGTTATACTTTTCATCTCTGTCTTTGTTTCAAATGAACAACACATAAATGTTAAGCATAGACATTTTTTCCCCTTAGATATGTTAATGTCTCATTTGTAGCCTCGCTATATCCAAAACAAAAAGATCTCTGGGTGTTTTTGTTACCTCATTTGCTCAAAAACTATAGTATCGAGGATAACACAGACAAGACTTTCTTGTATACTTTGTCTCAAATGCATAGTTTTGATGATAGCATACACAAGACCTTGTATATTCTTGTATCATCCACTTTCTCAAATAATTGAATAAGAACAGATATGTGGATAATGTCATCTTCTAAGATCTCAGTGATGTAATATTTAGGAGATTTAATGATCATTTAGTGTATATAAAGTGGTTTTTATGTGAAAACAGGAGCCCATTTGGTCTTCTCATGAAATACACAAAGAACCTGGCAACACTTTTGCACAACCATATTGACTACTTGTCTTGCAAGGGAGCAGTTATAAGAAATTCTTCTTAGGAGGGAGAATTTCAACAAGTACAAAGTTCAAGATGAAGATTTCTTCCGCCAAATTACAAGAACGAGTCAAATGACTCTTTATCTTCAACAAATCCGACTGCTAATCAAGGTTGTGCAAGTGACACGTGAGAGGCAAACCAAAGACTTTTGAACACTATTTCTTGTACCAAAATCCAAAGTTGTAACATCTCCACAATTTACATAATTTCTATGCATGAAATATGTGCATACCGCTACTCAAGGAGCACGGCTTCAATTGAAATTTGTCATCAAGACTAATACAAAGTAGGCTCTCGTTATAATGCTTTCTTCTCCTCTTGCATTATTCAGCATAATCAATTCAATGCAAAGAATATTTCTAACAGCAGGTAGATTTACAATCCCATTTCTTTTTCTCCTGTGGTCTACAAAAAGCAATATGCTGGAACAAGGCCTCCTTTAGTTCCACTTCTCTCATAAACCAAAAAGAATTATGGAAAAAGAATTACAAAGCTGCCTATGCTGATTATTCATTACCATCCTTTTCTTCAATCTTGGGAGATTGTTGTTCACTTCCATTATCTTTGGGAATTTCCTCATTTTTGACATGGGGGGATAGACCAGTATCTGAGACTGAATCGTCAATAGCCAAACTGGAGACTTCACCAGCAAGAGCTGTCTCATTCTCACCTTCCTTTGGTGACACACAGGATTCATCAGGAACCTCACCATCTTCAGACTCTGCTACCTGCTGCTGTAGGCTCCAGTACATGATGCTGGCAGTCAAAGTAAGCATCATTTTCTGGTTTACCTGTTACGTTTATGCAACAGATATTGGAGTTAGAAGTTACATTAAACAAAGCAATATGCCAACCTCACAAAAATACAGGATGTCTCGTTTATCCAGTTTGGGCATAAAAAATTCAGGTCAGCTCAGCATTCATCACAAGGGTTTGCTAGGCCAAAAAGGGAAATTCCAGCATCTATGGACAACAATTTACTTGAGCTTTGTATATGACTGACTTAAATTTATATCAACCCAATGAGGGACAAACTATGTCTAACCAGTTTAGCAGTCTAGGTTAGACATTGTTCGCAATATCCGGCCGTTCTTTTATGTAAGGAATGATGTCATATTTGGCTCCTGATGTATAAGAAAAAGTTCAATATGGAACCTGTACTGGTTTAATATTATTTTATTTTTCCTTTCCTTCTTCTGAAAATAATTTTATTTTAATAGAAGATTGACTTTCAAATCTCTTCAATATTATCACCAATGTTAAAATCACTCCATTTCCTGCAATATTAACCATCGTTTGTTTGTTGTCATAACTTTGTGTAAAGAAAATCATGTTGATCTGACCACAAGCAAAAAACAGACTCAAGGTATGGCTAATCATTGATAACATTAAAATCAGAAATGATACTAAGAAGGGATTAGGGATGTTGAATTTCAGAACAAAAATTACCTCTATGACATCCTCGGGCAACAAGAAAATGGAGCATCCAAGCTTCCGTGCGACACTGATTATATAGGTTGCATTCAACTTCTTATCTTCATCTACAATGTCAATAACAATAAAATGATACATCTCTTCCATTGCATTTATGTACATAGTATCATCTATCATCTATCTGTTCATATGGGTTCAACTTGAACAAAGTTTCCTGTGTGAAGCCCTTAGCTTCCCCAATAAAATCATCACCATGAATTAAAATTGCCAATGGAGAAGTAAAGATAAGAGTTGAAGGTTCAAAGTAGGATTAATGCTATTTTAGTGATTTTTTGATTGAGGAATCTAAGGAATTTCACAAAAGGAACCTAAGTTAATATCCTAATTATATGTTCTCTGTAAAAGGCAAAAAAGCACTTGGCAGGTACTTCATTTCATTGCTCAAGTGCCATACAACACTATGGCCAACCAAGCTTCAAAGGAAAAAGACAGATTTTATATAATAATAAAATATTGCCATACCAGTTTCTCCCTTGGTAACAAGACTCCAGTTAACCACCCTTGGTTCCACTGCACTAAGAAGCTCAAGGAAGAATATACCATTTGAAAGGTTTTTATCCTAAAAGCAAGAGTCAACAAAAACCAGAGTGTTAGTATATGTCTTATGATCAAAATTTTAACATACGGTCTCATTTCATTCCTTGTGTACCTTGAAGCTGTCCATTTGAGAGGTTCTACCTGCCTTCTTCACTTTATTGTTAGCCCAGTTCAGAATGTCAGCATCTGTAATTTCTTTACCTTGAGAGTGAGATCTCAAGTTTTTCAGGAGTTGAAGCATAGAAAACCTCATGAGTTGCCACAAAAATGCTGGAAGTGATGAAGAAAAACAAGTAAATGAGAAGAGGGAAGTCATTTTACAGAACATAATGGAGAAACAGAGAGCTTGGAGCCATATCAAGGCTTATATATGTGCCAGTCAGATCAGTAAGATCACATTACAACTCTGAAACTAAAAATTTCTTGGCATCTACATCTATAAAAGCCATAGGAATGTATAACAGTGATCTATATTCAAAAAAACAAAATAACAGACCTCATCTCTACCAAAAAAAAGAAAAAGAATAATAACAGCTCTCATTGAGTTGGATAACAGACTGCATAGAAATAAACTTGAGAAAGGACAAGTGAAGTTGATCAAGTGTTTGCATTGTACATGTGCTCTCAGCATGTAAGAAGGGAAAAAAAGAGAGAGAGGATCATGTAAAATGATTATGCCATTCTGATTGCATAAATGCATTCCTTAAGTGCAGCTTTTCCAACCAGTGAATGTTACTTGTCAATTCCTAGCCACTAAAGCACTTGATGGACATCACAGGGTTTCGCCATTTAAAATTATAAATCGTATTAGTTGAGAAATCACCACAAAAGAATTGACTTGAAGATATGAAAAAGACACCTGAGAAAATGAGATTTTAACGTACATTAAATGCACATGATACCCTATTTTGCGGTGAAATTTCCTTACTTCGCACTAGAGACAGCATAGAAAACATAAAAGTGTGTCTCTTGAACCACATATCCCATTAACAATAAGGAATAGAAGGCAGAAGTTCTACAGAAAAATGTAAGATAGAAGATCTTACCTAATATAAGTTTCTTGTTTCCTTGCACAACATCATTGCCAGCCACATTCACAAGTGAGAAGTTTAACTCTTTCCCAATCTTTATAACTTGATTGCAATTCTCAACCTTTTTAAAAGGCATCTTTATAGGAGGCTTATTTGCAAGCTTCCAGTTAACTGATCCAGTAGAAATTTTGTCTAAAACCTCTAGCAGAACCCATCTGCAGGCACAAAAAGGTGAACACCAAACAAGATTCATCAACTGCTTGATACTGCTGGGACAGCCAAAATTTCAAAAAAGAAAAGAGCACATTACCCATTTCTAACATCTTCAAAAAGATTGTTGACATACATGGCAACTCCAAGACTGTTAATCCACAGTCGAAAGCATCTCTCTTCACGAGAAGTTTGTGCATCATCAGTCATCATCTCAGCAAAGGACATCTTTTTGCTGTCAGTGGTCAAACCATTCCTGCAAGAGGTATTATGTGCTAGTTAAACTAATTTGGACAATCATAAGTGCATGTCCCAAGGAGACACCCCAGTGGTTAGAACTTGAGACTCCAACTTAGAGATCTCCGGATCAAATCCTGAGATAGGAAGGGTGGGGTTTACGGGACAGAGAGAGCTACCTCTTATTGTGTAGCCCAAGATCACATGTAACCAAAGAAAAAAAAAATCATAAGTACATGATTGAGTCAGCTATTCCCACATGCATATGCAAAAAAACCCAGACAATATATATTACTAGATTACCAAGACTCAGTAGAAAAGAACAGTTAAGTTTTAAACAAGGCACTGATCAGTTCACTGACAAGTTGAAAAAATCAATGAAAATGAACAGGGAAAAGTTAATATGAACAATTATGAAAACTTAATATCTCAGAACTTTTTCAGACATAAAGCATGAATTATTTCTCACCTGTGCTGGAATATTTGTGCAACAAATGCAAGATTGAGATTTGGTGAGCCTTCAACAATGTCCTTAGGAGTGAGATATCTTTTGCAATCCAACTTCTCTGCCTGCTGAAGAACCATGTTTGCTCTTTCTGTTGGATCTTTTGTATCCAAAGTTGAGGGGGTACTGTGTTCGGGGGCAAGTGCATTAAGCAGGTATGCATATGCCTCTCCATCCTACAAATGGATAGATTTATGATACATCAGCCACACTAGAAAACTGAAAATAATATAGACAATTGGCAATATATACTTTATACATTAACAAGCACTTATATCTGACTACAAGTAACCATGAATTAAATCCTCACGCATATGAGGAGGCATTGTCTGTCAATATATTACAGTTTGAGACACTGGAAGACATTTAAACATTATCCTGAAATTTTTTCAACATTTCATGGAACTTAAGGCCCAAAATGAAATATTAGTGCAGCACTGAAAACCATGATAAGAATTATCTTTTGTATATATTGACATGCCATAACTAGAATCAAGAAACTGATGAGTTTTCTTACCTTCAAATCTGAAGAGAAGTTTGTAACCTGCTTTTCATATCCAACTTTCTTCAGATGAAAATTCATCCATTTCAGCAAAACCTTTTCAGGTGGTAAACCCAAAAGCTCCTCCACATCCTACAAATTTATAGAAAAGCAGAATAAAATTTGTTTCTGACCTGCAAAACAGAACTTATCCACTATCTGTTATGATCAAAATATAGAAAGGAGGCAAAACTGATTAAGATTCTCTGACCTGGCTATCATCCACCAATTCCACGAGTTGAGGAGTTTTCTTCAGATTGAGATCTGCTAGTAGTTGAATCTGATGCCATCACCATGTTAACATTATTAGCAATATAATTAATAATGTATCCCTTGAAACATCTATAGATGTAGAAAACTGATATGATCAGTATGGTTTCCATGAATTACAAACACAAGATAAATGAGTTTGAAGGAAGTTTGAGTTGAATACCTTTATAATTTGAGAAATCAATCCAAGTACAAGATGGGGCTAGAAAATAAAAAAATCACCAACAGAAAAAGACAACAGAAAAAGTTAAAACCTTGTGCAAGTCTGTACTAAAAAGCAAGTATAACACCTATATTGGTACTAGGAAGGAGCATTACTTACTCTTCCTTCAACAAGATCTTGTGTGCCAATATTAACCACAGTGCAACCAATAGCTTTTGCAGAATTAAGGCAAAGAGTGTGATTCTCATTCCTCTCCCAGGGATTGAGAACTTTTTTGGTGTTAATAGCTCGCTCATCTATGGTCCCAGGAACAGCTACATTGATAAGCTTACTGCATGAAAGCAACTAAAAGCATCAACAAACATCAAATCAGGAATCAAGACAAATAAATAAAGCATTGCCAAGAAGATCCTTGCACCAACCAAAGAAGAACTCCATTTTTAGCAAGATCAAATAAAGCATTTGTGGCTGGATCAATTGGAAGAAAATTTTTCAAGAATTTGTCTTCTGCCAGGTAGCTGTTAATATGAGCAACATAGGAAGCCTTCTCGGATTCGTTGATAGCATGGTGAACGGTGGTTGTCGTTGCCTTGAGAAATGAAGATTTTGAACCCCCTGATTTTGCAGTTGCACGACCTTGCAAATCTAAAAAAGCCTGCCAATTCACCAAATCCAACAGATTGCCACTAAGCAAGAAATACGGAGAACATATGCAGAAAAAGTGAAAATGCATACAACAGGTATCCTAACACAAATGCATCAGGAAATATTAATTCACAACATTTGACTTATTGAAATTTTCTTTATCATTAGCAAGGCTATATACTGGAAAAATAGGGAAGCCCTGATATTGGAAACTGAAAAGACTCACCCGTAAGAAGGCCTCAAAATCAATTTCTTCACCCATGTCATTATTTGACTCTCCCAAGATAGTCTTAATCTCATCCTCATTGAACATTTCAGCGAAAGCCTTCAACTTTGCAAAAACCGGTGGCAAATCACCCCCGGTAACACGACCATTTTGAGTCCTTACAGAGAGAAACTAAAAGCAACAAAAAGGAAAATCCATGTCACACGTCAAACATAGATTGCTAATTCCCTTAATAATATTGTAAAATAAGATACCGTATGGTCGTTTCTGCCAGTTTCATAAGTGCATTTGAATACAAAGGCAAATATTATTTTGAAGCATTAAAAATCAGAAATTTTTTTAAAACAGACTGCAAGATTCCACTTCCGAACAGAGGAATTACGTCAGAATTGATGTTACATTTACAGCCCCAAGAAAAGAAAGAGAGAAAGGCAACAATAAAGCCAAAAGAAAGAGAAAATTAAGGTTATACCTTTGATTTGAGGGTGCGGAGCTCGACTTGAGTGAACTGGCTTTGAAGCCAAGGATCAGAAACAATCACACCTTGATAACTAGACATTGCTTGTCTTGTTTTTTAGACCAAATTCTACCCCCTTAATCACAGACAAAAGACAAAGATTATTACACGTTCACAATACAAACTACTTAAGCCAATGAAAATCCAAATCCAAGGAATGCAGAAATGAGGAGAAACCCAATTGAGAAACATCATTTACGTTTGAAATTAACGTGCATGCATACATATATAATTCAATGGAAAAATTAAACGATCAACCAAACTAGAAAGTACTAAAAGACAATCATATTTATCAAAACAGAGATTAAAAAGAAAAAGAAGATGACCCAAGTAGGAAAAAAAAAAAGAACGGTAAAAGACAGAATTATGATGAAAACGAACCTAAAGAGAAACAAAGAGAAGGGACACAGCAGCTAAGATTGAAGGGTGGTTGCCTCGTTCATGTTTTTCTTGTTTGTTCGTCGTAGGTTCCTGACAGTTGTTTGAGAGAGAGAGAGAGAGAGAGAGGCGCTTGGGGTATGTTGCGAGTAAATTAAGTGAAGGAAAATGAGGATGAGAGAAAAGCGTGTTGCCTCCAGAGAACCCGCGAACACTGCCGATTGCAAATGTGAATAAGAGAGAGAAACAGAGAAAGCCAAAGGCTATATTAAAACAGAGGAAGGACTTCTCTTTTCTTTCAAAAATGAATAAATCAAAAGGTTTTAAATAGCTTTTTTTTTTCTATATTTATTTTTCGAAGGAAACGTTTATCTATAATAATATTATATGAAAATTAATAATGTTAAAGATATACATATGTACATAATTTTTATTTTAATGAATAAAAAATAAATATTGACGTAGGAGAGACATATACTAACAAATACTAGTTATACAGGAAACCATACAAGATTTGCCAAGAGTGCCTGATGCCATGTCGTGTCCTATGTTGATTGGTGAGTCTGCATTTAGTACCCGTGTAGGAGAGCGTCAATTCCTACCCTTTGCTACATTAGTATTTATGTTATGTTGTTTTCTCTTTTTAATAATTCAATTTCATATGCTACCTTTCGGAACCGACCAGTCAATTTCGGTTTCCATATACTTGCATGCTTTAATCGAATTTTGAATTCTAAGTAATTATGTATGCCCACAACAATAAATAGATATTTGCCGCCCTATGGCTACGGCCTGCAGGCTGTGTTATGAATACGCATAGAATTTAACACAAAACTAACACTATTAGTGAGTATTTATCAAAACAAAAATGGGAAAACAAGTGCATTGGTCGGTGCCCTGCTGACCTCCCTAGCCGACCTTGGAGCATTTCAGATTTGACTGGCTAGCCTAAACCTTTTTTGTTGTAGGTCCATTATATTGTAATTTACAAAGACTCTCTCTCTCTATATATATATATATATATTAAGAGTTTCATAATTTTCATTTCACTTTTCATAAGATTTTAATTTAAAACTTATGAAATAAAACAAAATTTATTCAAATTATTGGGGTATTTCTTTTATGCACGATGTAAATGGAAGAAATGAGAAATAATTTTTGTTTTGTTTTATTTTGTTTTGGGTTTGGTGTTTAGCTTAACCAGTGTACTGTATTCATTGTACATATACAGAGGAGTATGTGGCCAAAATAAAAGTAGAGATAGGCAAAGATTATCTGTTGGATTGTCCTGAAACACCGAACGTTGCTCCGTAATTTGTCCCTTAAGGAGACTGTGGCCCCAAGTTAGTCAAACTGGGCCAAAACAGGCCGAACCCAAGTTAATCAAACTGGCCCAAAACAGATAAAAAGGGCAAAAATTCTAGTAATGGCCCATGCAGGTCTCGAACCTGCGACCTTCGCGTTATTAGCACGACGCTCTAACCAACTGAGCTAATAGGCCTATGATTGAATGTTCGAAACTTTTTTTAAATATTGTTATATTGTAGGAAGTCATAACTGGCCTTTTCATTTTTCCATCCCAATGCTGACTTACTGCCAAAGGCTACCTTAATTGTTGTCATAAATAATGTTTGCTTTACAAGAATAAGCAACTGATACTCAGCTGCAAGTTTTTTCTCCCTTTTTAATTTGTTGGTCACCGGTGGCCAAACTCGTGACAATATTAGTTGCAGTGCAGCGTAATTATTTTGAGTGGTCCTTGTAATGAGTATATCAGCATGATTTTTGAGGACAGTGTCAGTGGGAAAACACACAGACCCCCCTCCCTAGTTCTTATCTTAAATTCCATGTGATGTATACCTTTTCCCTTGCTCTTTTCTTCCCCTTTTCTTTTTCATCTTTATAGATTTTAGCCCATTAATAATGATACCACCAAAATTTGGATTTCATCTTCCCAACCTCGTAATTGAACTCATCTACCTCGGAGAAGATGCTACTGCTACTACTACAACTTGGCATTTCAATGGAACTTGAAAGTATTGCTATTACTGCAAGCGTTAGCACCAGCAGCAGAACAAATCTTGGTGCACCTACTTAGCCATATGGTTTACCCCTGTGGGGTTAGATAGTGAGATTGCTTATTGCCTTGATGGAGTTCCATTAATGACAATACTAGGAAATTGGGCATCTAAGAACTCAAATTTTGCGTGTTATTCTGTGTTTATATAGGAGATGATCTTGCTAAGCTCTCACCCAGTTGCTCGATATGTAAAAGAGATTGTTCACTTTTAACAGCTATGCTACCATGAACCACTAGTTTAGAGGAGGCAAGAAAGCAAAAGTTAAATACAGTAACAAGTATGATCAAGTGAAAACGGGGATTCCAGCAAGAGGCCATTTAAATGGAAATTGTAATTATAACACAAGAACTCACATTCTTAACACATAATCTCAATAAGATATAAATCAAAAAATGGTTTTAAAAATCAAAGTAAATTGAGAAAAGAGATATGCTCCCCATGTGAACATAAATTAGACTCAATGGAGTCCCCGCTTAGAAGAGCAGGACCACCCCACCTAAGACTGCCAAAACCAGCTGACTCCAAATGCCCAAGTTCATAATCCTGTGAGATGATGAATTTGAAGGTGAAGACTTGGGTGAAGACCCACTTTCTTTGGATTCTGCTGCTGGAGTATCTGCAGCTGGGCTAATATCCGGAGCTGGGGCCGGAGCAGGAGTTGGAGGTATGTCAGTTCCAAAGATTGCCTCAGGAAGAAGGACCTTATCGACTTGATATATTGCAACAGGATCAGTTGAATGTACAGCGCTGGTAATTTTGGTTTTGCTCCATCCTGAATCAAGGTGCACGGTGCCAGAATTATCTGTGAAATTCAAAGTGTACTGGCCACCAGCAAGTGTACTAACAGGACCTTTTGCACTGAGGTCATTGAAGTCTGCCAGGGCATAGAATTTTGCCAAGGCATGGAAAAGGATGAGTGATTTAAGCTGGTCATCACTGAGATTGGATAAAGAAGGCTTCTTAAGAGCCTTGAAGGCATCGTCTTTCGGTACGAAAATGGTAATGCCTTGTTCAGTGTTGTTGGCTTGATTTTGGAAGGTTTCAATGACTTTAGTGGATTCCAGGTAGTTAAGGAAAGTGTGAAATGGACCAGCCACAGCGAGTAAATAAGTGAGGTTCACATATGCCGGTGCTGGTGCTGGTGCAGGTGTCGGAGTTGGGGTCATTGCGGCAGGAGCCGGCGGACTAGCAGCTTGACCATATGCCAAGGAGGAGCATAAGAGCAACACAGAACTACAAAACATAAAAATCCTGGAGAACTCCATCTTTTTCCAGAAATTTGGTTTGGCTTCAGTAATGACCACTCTCCAAATTCCTACAAGAACCAAATTATATAAGGTTACATTGCAGCTAAACAACAAGAAACCCATGGCAATAACCCAGTAAATCAACATTCTGAACAAAAAACTAATAAAATTCTCTAAGTTCAAAACCACATTTCACAATCTAGATCAGAATCTTTGAGATTCATTTTCTGCATAAATAAGTAATACACTGTAAATAAAGCCAAAATCTACAACTTTCTGCAAGAATGGAAAGTAATGAAAAACAGATCTTGATTAGCTCATCCAGCAAAGCAAATTATGAGAACACTCGTTAACCATAATAAGACAAAAAGCTTAAAACTGGATCTAAGACAATGCAATTACAGATGAGATTGAAATGTGGAGATTAAGAAAAATAAAAGAGAATTCAAAAATTTGATCCATTTCATGCTCTTGAGCTCCTTCAGACAAAGCACAACTTACCAAATCCCCAAGTGATCAAATTTCAGACCCAAAACCCAGATCAAAATCTTATTTTTCAGTTTGCATTACACCTTGACTTAAATTGGCTTGAATTCAAGTTAACTTCTGGCAGGGTACTTCGCACTAGAAGTTTCCCAGAAAAGCAAAGTAAAGTAACTTCTTCAAGAACAAAAAAACAAAAAGAAAAGCAATGAAAAGACAAGCAAGGAAACCACAGCCACATAACGTACATCAACAAAAAGTAAACAAAGATCTAGATTTAACTAAACACTCGTTTTACTTGAAAGAAAATGGATCAGTAGAAGTCTTAAAGAACGGAACTTTAACAAAAGCAAATTACAATGAGGGCTGACAGATGAAGGACGCTAACCTGACTAAGAGGAATTCAGAGAGAAAAGTTTAGTGCTTGGGGTACCAATGCAGCTGATTGGAATAAGCTGAGACAGACTATATAAAGGTGGGATTTTTTTCCTTGTAGGGTATGAACCAAAAAAAAAAGTGTGAGTGTGGGGTTGTACCAGCTGTTGGTGCTTAAAGGAGGGCTGTAGAGGATAAGAAAATAGTAGGTGCAAGAGATTAACAAAACAAAATACCACTAAAAATGATAAAAATAACATATTAAAAAAATTAAATTACACCTGGGATGGGTGGCTTGAAAGGAGATGGGGATGGAACTTTCTCAGAGGAAAAATAATGCATTTTTTATTGGGCAACTCTTTCAAGGAAAGAGGACCCTGTATGGTGGCCTTTCTTAATCACTTTTCAACTAATTAGTTTTCTAATCCTTGGGACACCAGCCATGTGCTCTTCACCATCCTTTACATCATCCTTCAGCATCTCATCAAAGGTTTTCATATTATGATACATTGGTCTTGCAAATACGTATTAACTAAATCAAAATTAATCAAAAAATAGATGGTTGTAATTAAACTTGGGGCAAGAGATTAATAAACTCTTTTTTTAGAATAAAAATTCTTTAAAGAAAGAAAAAAAAAAGATTTTTGTTCTTATTTATCCTCCACATGTGTAATTTAATAAGTTTATGACATGTTTAGCCACTTGTGTAAGTTCAAATGATCTCATTAGTTGATATAGTATTTTTATATCACGTGTCACATTTTGATTCATCCATAATAATTTTAATAAGTTTTTGTTAATAGTATAATGGGTTTAGAAAGATTGATATATGAAATTAAAGATCTGATATTACATCGAACATTCTTTTAATGCATATAGATTTTTTTTTAAGGTATAATGGTTAAATGTACATAAAATGGGAGAAGGTTTGATAACCAACAAATATAATTAGAAATTAAATGATTGAGGTCTAAAGTTTGATTTTTTTTAAACTTCTTCATTCATTCGAGAACAAAAAATTATGTATCAAAATCATCCATGTCATGTTTTTTTCAAATGATCAAACATGTTTAATTGAAATTGGATTTGAACTCTTTCTAAAATATTGAAAACCAACAAAGTAATACAATACACCAAAAAACATTGTGGGTAAATAAGTTATTATAAAAGTAAAAGTCTTTTGCTCTTTATATATTACAATGGTGAAATTGGTGACCCCACGCAGCCCATCTATCTTGGGTAGGTAAAAGAGACAAAAATAAGTGATAAAAATTTCTGGTATTACCAACCAAAAGAACATGAAATAATATTTGTGGCATTCACATTGAAATGTATGGAAAGGGAAAGGAGAAGAAGCCCCTAAATAAAGAAGCAAAATATCAAAGGAGTGGAAAGTAAGAAATGAAAAGAAACAAAGGCGTGAGAAATTAGGGAGAAAGAAGGTGGGTGGGACGAGGGGTCCACCGTGAGATTAGAGCCAACCAGCTTTGGCTGTCGGATCGTTGCTGCCACGAGAAGAAGCCCATTGCCAACTGTTGTATGGCCTCTGTGTTCCATTCCATTCTGACTCTTTCCAATCATGAGCCAAACGTGCGCACCCACCTCCAATATTCCTAGACAGCTCATTCTCGACGCCCAAACGCCACCGTTTTTTTCCTCAGCCTGGCCTGTCGCCCACGCTAAGCATAATTAGTCATTACCAAAAACCAAAAAAAGAAAAGAAAGTGTATATATCTCTAGAAGAGAAGAATTAGACTTTTTCTTGCCACGCAGGCAAATAGATGCCGCATGCCACGCCAGGGTACTTAGGAATATAATATAATATATTAAATAAATTTTACTCACAAGTTTTTTAGGTGTATTTATTAAGGTCTAGTATATAAAATACTTATTTTAACATATTAATACATTGAAAACCATCACTTAATTGTTAATTATTGTGTTGAATGTGAGAAAATCAATGTAAACGACACCTTAACAAATTTTAATAAAGGGTCATTCATCAGATCCATTTGTAATTGCTTGTAATAATTAAACATCATTACAGAATTAATAATATTTGTTAGTTACAGGATTCATATTTTTCCTTTCTTTGTTTTCACTTTTTGGAAAAAAAAAAGCTTTCAGTAATATATGTTCATAATTCCTTTAATATTAGCAAATATACGTGTTGGTTATAATTACTATCATTATTAGAATTTTTTTTTAGGGCCGGTGGTTAGAGAGGTCAAGATCTTTGAAAGAGCACATTCCACAGATTAGTGAACATAATCATATATATAGTTTAAATTAAAAAAATTGATAATTATTTTTTTTATTTCCTTTGAAATTGTGATCAATGAAAAATTAAATAATTAAATTATTCAATCAAGAATTCCCATTTTTTAAAAGCCTCAGCACCTACCATATATTAGTAAATTATAATATTTCTTTGACACATTTGGCATAGTATTAATAACGTTATAATGTATTTATATTTTATGCATCCCAATATGCTTATAAAAAAAAATATCTTGGGCTAATTTGTTAACAAATGCTTGAAGCCCTGATGAATGCCAGCACGCACGTGAAAATTCATTGAAATCTGCGGTCAAATTTGAGTTAAAATTAGTTTATAACTCCTTTTACGCAATTGATTACGGATCAGTAAATTAAAGATTTTACGTGGAGAAGTGGGATTTGTCGTTTTACAGAGGGGAATTAGGTGCAATGGCAATATCAAATTCTGTCCAAAACTTAATGCTTGTGCTTAAGATTTGAATTTCTGCACATGAACCTTTGTTTTTCAATAATCAGAAGCATATGGATTATCAACTACTCAATTTGATTATAGAGACCGACTTCCTTTTCATGATATATCTCAATCAATAATAAGATTTGCATCATTTCGTTAGTCATGAAAGTGTAGTTGAAAGGGTTCAATCAGAAATATGCTTCTTTAAGTTAATTTGAACTTTATGATATACCAACCGATTAGTCATATTCTAAAACTTCTAATTAAGAAACAAAATTGGTGCAGCTGTTTTCAGGGTCATATTGATTAAGGACTTTAAACAACTATGCCGACAATTTACATTATGAATCACTCAAAAAAACTAACATCAAATAAAAAAAAAAAGAAATCTTACAATCGTATAATTTATTATCATTAAAAAGAAAATTTAATAACAAATGATTTAATGATAAAGTGTACGCGTGATATATTCCTCGTTCAAAAAACTTATTAGTTAGAATTTTAACTTTCCCTGAAATTGTACTTGGATAGAAAGCATTTCAGACGCTGAATGCATGATAAAAATATATCTATGTATATGTAAAAGGCATGCATGGAAGCTTCTATAACTGGTTGGTGTAAAGCAAAATCCAGCAGGAGGCAAAGAAAAGAGGTGGGAAGTTGAGAGGTTAGCATCAAATAAATATTGGTCGGAGAGTTGCCGCTGCCATTGCCCTTTCAAGCAGATCCTTTGCTTAAATGTTTCGGGTCTTGACTTCACAAACTTTGCTTAATTCCAAGAGAGAAATAAAAGTGTTTTCAATTGATTCGGTCAAAACTCAAAATAACTTGCCATGTCGTTCACCTACTCTACATCTTTTCGATCATATCTTCATAATATATTTTTTGCAGGAAACAAGAGACGGTCCAAACTCCCAAGGCATCTGGGTTTCTTTAGGAGCACCATATAATAAGTACAAGTTTGTTCAAGTAGAATACATGATCTCCAGTCAACGGTTTTAGCTCTATTTATATTTTTAAGACTTTAAACAATGATATCTCTGTTATTGAAACAACTCCCTAATTGACGGCACAAACAATGTCAATACTTACCCAAACAACAAAAATGTGGGGAGCCACCCTTCACATTGCTCCATAAGAGGGACAATTGAATTCATAATTATTAGGCCAAAGGGCCTTGACTATGTCCTCAAGAGTCATGCCTCAAAATTTTCCTCAAGGACTTGCTTAGCTGATGGGTGTGAGCACAGCTCATTCCATACCAATATATACAATTCTATTTGCAATAGCTGTTCCCAGCTCGTGCTTTTGTTTCGTGTAAAAGGACAAAAAGCCTCCTCCAAAATTCAGTTCGATCTCTTTGGGAGTGCCCCTCTCCTAAATTCTGTAATCAGGTCAGAGTTATTGGCAGTGGTTTCAGCCATGATACTTTAGTTGAGCAGTTTCATTCCCATGCATGTATTAGATGAGGAATCGTAAGCTTTCTACTTTCTAGCATTAGCAGCAAGAAGATAGGGATAAATGGGAGAATTAGCAGCTAGAAGATTCAGACAGTGTCAGGTTAAGCACTTCAAAAAATAAAGTAAACAGGCTGTTTCACTCTTACATCAATTAGGTAAAAGTTTTTGAAAAATTATAGATGAAGTGCTACACATTCTATTAAGTTAATTTTTTAGAAAAACGGTAATAATTTCGTGATAAAATGATATTAAAATAAATCTGACTTGATTCACGTCAAGTATCTTGTTGACAACAAAAACGTTGTCTTTGTGCACTTTATCAAGTTAATTTTTTGAAAAAAGACGATGATCCTATGTTAATTAATCTCTTAGCAGGTTTCAAAAAGAGGATAATGACTTTTGAGAGAGGATAATGGTCCTATGACAACTAGGATCTAGCTCATTACTTACGCGGCTTACCAGAATTTTATATTTTACCATCTGAATGGTATATAAATCAACAACACTGAATTTAGGGCAGTTTGATAATAAAAAAAGAAAAAACAATCATTGACTCACTCCCTGTTTTTATATATGCACATAGAAGAATTGAACAAGAACAATACCTAAGACATCATTATCCAAATGTCCCTAAGAAATGCTAACTCTGCTCTTAATTAATAAAGCTTTGCCAAGTGAAACCTTTATCTCGCTTGCCTTTGTCATGGGAACTGGTCTAGACAGAAATGAAGTGGTTAAGATAACCGGGAAACCAGCAGTTAAAAATGTCTGAAAGGGGATAAAACTTATAGCAAATATATAATGGCATAAGAACATCTGGTGCATTAAGGGTGATAGAGCTCATCAAGTTCTTCTCCGTTCACGGATCAGCAGCCCACTCTTTACGCCCACTCTTTACGGATGTCAAATGTATAGTTGATCTCCAAGTAGCACTTGTTATCATCATCAAGAAACTGAAACAAAGAGAAACAGTAAGTAACTAGCTGTAACAACTTGATTTTGAACTAGAAAGCGTATTAATAAAACATACAATGCAGAGGGTACAGATGCAACAACGATATTATAGCAGAAAGCTAGGACAATGATATCTACATCAAGTAATTAATATGCAGTTCAGCAAGGGCCATATATCTTGCTAAAGGTAGCTAAACAGTAATCAATTAAATGAACGAATTCATGGGCTACATATACCTTATAATAAACTAAGAAAGTTAGAGATGATGGACCATCATTCATATGAAGGTAGGTAGGATAACTGAAAGCTTGAAAATTACGGATTTCTAGTGAAAGAAACAAATAGAAAATATGAATGCACTAACAAGTTTAAGATAAAAATCTTTAAAGCAACCTAGCAAATGCAAGAATTTGAAGAAATACTCAGAACGACCTCTGAACAGGTTGAGAAATCATTGAAAAGAACAAGCTTTTGGCTTAAAACAGTATCCACAAACCGAAACAAGAAAAGGGTTGGGATTCAGTGCACACCTTCACCGATTCTATTTACTGTTATTCAGCCTCAAAGTAAGAAACCTTTTACTGTTTACATCAGACCTCATTCATGCCTGAGAACTCACATCACAAGGGTAGTGCATCTCTTTCTTCCTTTTGCCCCTCCCATTCGGGGATGGTTTAATAAAACCAAAAGGTGACAGCACTTGACACCAATTGATTAAATTTGTAAGTAAGTTCAAGGAAGAAAACTATGTAAAAGCTTCAAATAGAAAAAGAGGCCCAAATTGTGGATGTTCAAAAAGACACATTCTACATAAATACTCAAGCAGAGCAAACATTTGCCTTCTGTTCTGTGTATTTCATCTGTTGGAAAGGTAACTAGTATCTTCTGTTGAACCTAATTAAGTATAGCATCATAATCATTAACCTCTAAATTCAGAGCCTCCATGCACGGGAAGAATGTGAACGGCATAATGAAATGAGGTTTAAACAATTTGTAGGAGGACGTAGAACGGACAGGTAAGAGATAAAACGTAGGTGAACAAACCTTTGATTTTGCAGTATATGATCCTCTAGCAAAAAAACCAGAAGGTGCTGTCTCTTCAGGCATTTCATGTGTATAAGGCTCTAGCTGAGGGCTAAAGGTTCCAATCATCTCTTTTGTGCTGAAAACTGGAAAAAGATTCATTTTAAGGCAGACTTTCAAGTGTTTTTACCTTCAAATTTTTTTGCTAGAATTATTATTTAGGAGGCTTACCCTTGACACCTGTTTTCCAAACAGTATTGGTGTACCTGAGCCCAGATACAATGTTATTTCCAACTTGGAAGGAGAATTTCAAGCGATAATGGCTACCTTCTTTCAGTGTAAACCATAAACCCTGAGGGTTTCCATCTTCTGGAATTGATAGAACTATATCAGTCCTATCAGGAGACACAATAGACACGCTAAGGAACTTTACTTCTGGTTCAAGTGTTTCTGCAATGAAAGGGAGAAAACTATAGTTAAATAAATGCAAGGTCTGCTTAGGAAAGACTTTTCATTATTATTTCCTTCAAAGAATGAAACTAGATAACGATTATATTTGAAGTTACAGAATTCTCAACAATGACAGTTTAATACATATGAATAAAGGGACACACCCTGCAGAAAAGCAACAAAGTCTCAACATACATATAATGCTACCACCACCATGGTAGGAACTGCTAAATTAGATAATATCTTTTGAAGTTGGCAAACTGCTTAAAATCTAGTGATTGACGAAGTTCTTGTCATCTTGCACAAGAAGTAATGCATAGAAATTCCATTTGATAATGTTGTTTTCTCCTGACTTGATAAACAATTAAGCTATCACAAACCGTTTCACTGATGAAAATTTCCTTCTTGCAGAGGCAATCCTCTGGCAGGTAAGTTTCCAACTCAGAGAAGTAACCATATCTGAGCATGTGCAATGACCTGAGTTTTGGTGGGTGGTTTTTGCTGAGGCGAATTCCATAATTGTACAAAAATCCAGATTCAAACAACTCGGATGCTTCCAAAGGAGAGTCTTAATTTTGAACAGGTTAATTCTATTGATTTTTTTTCATGTCTAATCTGCAGATTCTTTAGATCAGCTTATATATATACTAATATTGGAATTGAAAGGATATGCAGAATTATATTCAATATCATGGACCTGCTTTGTATTAAATTAGTTCACACAGACAGCTATTAAGAACCAGTTGGGAAAAAGATAGTTGCCATTTATCTAGAGTCAGAACAATAGAATGTGAACAACTTGATCTGACCTTTCTTCTTAATATGTGATGTCAATGGAAGACTACACCAAGCAAAATCAAAATTAATTCAGCAATTCTGCACTATATTTTTCATAAACAAGCACCATTTATAGAGGCACTCAGCTGTATACATATATATAAAGGCACTCAGCTGTAAATGTAATATAAAGTATTGTAAAAAAGTAGCAGTTTGAAATATGTTTCTCATTTCAATTAGATTATGTGGAAAGGTTTGAAATTTGAAATTTTATTATCTTTACAAAACACTTGATCATGGAACTGACCTGACAATGAAAGCTAAAAATGAAATTGATTGAAAGAGAGGGAAAAGAAATTTTTAAAAAAAATCAAATCTACTAGGCTACAAATTTAGTTGGTTCAAGAATATTAGTACCTCCAATGTTGTCAATATCCACACTTCCAAGAAGCTGCTCTTTCCACTTCCTTAAGCTCTCATCATCCTACATTCACACAATGATTATCAGCATACATACATACATACATACATACATACATACATACATACATAATGATAAACTTTATGCATGTCCATGACTCAATTAACCCATTATTGTTGAAAACAGACCTTATCTTTTTCAAGCTGTTCTTTGAGAGTGCACTGTGGACCCAACTGAATTGAGGCGCGATGCTCATCATCATTATCATCATCCTCAGTTGCATAGAAGGAGGATTCGCTCATCTGTCTGCTGCCTATTTTCCCTCCTCCATCATCATCGCTCTCTTCAGGATGAGTTGCCTTCTTTTCTAAAGTCTTGCTCTTGTCTTCAGCTGCCTCCTTGTCATCATCAAACCCCATATTACTGCAACTTGGTACAGCTCCAACGGCCAAAGACATCAACTCATCAACAGTGTAGAGAAGAAGAAAACCAAATCACTTTTGACCCTCCCAAAACCACGTAGAGGAAAGATGGAAAACAGAAAAAGTGCAGAGAATGTTGACAGGGAGACTGCTTGGAACCGGTGAATGTGTATATATGTTAGCGTGCAAAACAATGGCATGAAATTAAAAAGGTAAGAATTGTCTGTGGCTAAGGCCAAAGACAGAGAGAGTCACAAAGAGCAAAGGACAAAAAGGATAGCGGGATTGGTCTTGTCTCCTAGCTTTCCGCGGTGGGCTGGCTGTTTTGTTGAAAAACTCAAATGCACAAGGGAGGGAAAAGCCTAAAAGAGAGTAGGGTAGTTTTGTGGATATGGTCTTGCCCTTGGTTGTTGGAAGGGCAGGAAAGGGTCATGTGGTGATCCGAAATATTGTAACCAAGAAAGACAACGTGAAGGACGCTAATAACAGATGGAGAGCATTTATTATAGTTCATAGGCAGCGAGGGCAGAGCATGATTCAGGGGGAGAGAGAGATAGAATATCAGAGAGAAACGGCCTGAAATTGCGCGTTTGACTCCTGTTTATAGAAAATATGGCAGGTACTCTCGCCATCACACTTCAAATTTTAAAACAAGTAGCGGAAGGAAATTAATGAAACAAGAAGAAAAGGGTTTGGGTTGGGTGAGCTGGTTTGCTCAATCACAGTGGTCCCATGTTTTGATTTTTATGACCTTCTGGGGCGTTCAATCAGTGGTCCCTCGGGGCAAGCCAAGCAGTGCTCTCGGTTTGGCTTGGAATTCACCAATTTCAAGATTGGGCCCAATGTCCCTTCTACACCTGCATAGTTTGCTCAACATTTGAGGGACTTTGGACCTTTACTTTTTGATGAGTTGGATTGGACATTTAGACACAGAGGACCCAGCAGCCCAAATAAGTCGAGGCAATACCGTAGGCTTTTCTTTAATTTGAATAAACGGGTTAAGAATAGAGTCTTTGAATGAGGGGATATTTACGTTCATTATTGAATCAAATATCTAGGGGCGGCAATATAAGAGATATAAGGTTAATGGAATAACTCATGTATCCATTTTTGATATATTTAATATGAAATCCTATGTCCAGATATGGGTTCAACTTGTTCACTAAACTCTTACCTTTTTAACTTTTTAATACTTTTTTAAAAATAATTTTTTTTAAGTTTTATAATGTTTTAACACAATTCATGAAAGTAATGTCAAGTGTATAATTAAAAGTGAATAGAACATAAATTTGATATTATAATAAAGTTTAATAACTTACAAAGAAAATAAAATTGTAATTTTTCTCTCTCTTGTTTTTTGTTAAATATTTAAAAAAAAAAGAAAACCAAGATGGAGTTTAAGGCAAGGGGTTACTGTGGATACCTTATTTTAAATGGACTAAACGAGTAATACCCATTTTAGTGTTCATTTTATTAATGGTAGGGAGGCTGGTATTGGAGAGTAAGTGAATGTTTGGCAAAGGCGTCACCTTTGCTAATTACGTTCTAATGATGAATCAAGCTGTTTCAACTTAAGACGGATCCTAAATTTACATGAAGATCGTCCACTCGATGATCTTAGCTAGTGGCACATGAAGCAGCAGAATTCACCTTAGAATTGTAAGAGAACCAAGCCAACCATAAAAGAAAAGATAAATTACAGCAAAATCTTTAAAATTTCATTTTAATTCATCATTTATGTCGTGAATCTATTTTAACATGTCATTAATTTCATGATGTGGTTATTATTTTATAATCATTTTACCCATTTCGAAACAAAGGAACAATAAAGAGGCAAATGGTTAAGGACAACTCGTATTGACGACCCAGAAAACTCTACAGAAGAAGCACGCTTCGACTTGCCCAAAGACAACAAAGCCCTCATTGTAGGTAGGGTAAATAGCATCTGATGAAAGGCGGCCTTTCATTCCCTTGTTCCGCCGTGGCACAAGCCCTCACCCCCACCCACTTTAAAAATCTTAAAAAACCTATCAAGATCGGTTTGGGTTTTTGGTGGTTGGAGATGATGAAGAAGAACCCCAAACAATAAATTGAATTGTACATGTGTAATTTGAATTGAAATATGCGCCTTGGTGTTTTAGGGTCATGGATAATTTAGTCATTTTTAAATATCTATTAATGAGATTTGAACTTTTGAGATGAAGTGTTCATTTTGAATATTAATACACTGAAGATGAATTAGAGTGAAACTCTAAAAATTTGAAATAATTTATTATAAAAAAAAAAATACAAATTCAAAAGATTCTTTTCAAAAATATCTCCATGCATAAGGTGTTTTTGAAAATAACTATTTTTGTAATTTTAACTATTTTTAATCAAGAAAAATTAATTTTGAATTAAATTACCTTTAATGAAACTGGACCATTTATTTAAGTTCACACTTTAAATTGACTCATATTCTTTGAACTTTTCTCGTTAGACTATTCATCTCTGGATTATTTCTTATCAAAAAAAATTAAATATTTTGAACATTTTGGAGTAGTTTTTAATAAATGAAGAAAAATCTTTGAACGTTTTGAGTATTTTTAATTTTTTTTGAGTAGTTTTTGATATATTAAGAAAAATCTTTGAGCATTCTTCGTCAAGTAGGTATATTCATTGATTATGTTGTTTAATGGAATATGATGCATTATTTGAAGTTGTTGATTTTGTTAAATAAAATTTATTAGTTTTAGTGGTTTTTAGGCATCGTAAAATTGATTTTTGAACATTGTGTGATTAATTTTTAAACATTACGTTATTAATTTTTAAACATAGTGTGATTGATTTTTATGTATTACGTGACAAGTTCATATGACATTGCGTGACTAGTTGATAGGTATTGTGTGACTGGTTAGTAAAGTATTGCGTCACTAATTTTTAGACATTATGTGACTTAGACATTGTCTAAAACTCAGTTACGTAATACTTAAAACCAGTCACGTAATGTCTAAAAATTAGAGATGAAATTATTAACTCACGCAATGCTTAAAAACAAGTAATGCAATACCTAACAACTAATTGATTTGTCTGCTTGCAGTCAAGTTTAAGTTGCTAAAATCATACAATGTTATAATTTATAAATATGTCTAATTTATTTCAACTTTTCAACTTTGGAGTTTTATAAATAAACCAATAAACTCAAAATTTTAAAACACATAATTTGATGTCATCTCCTGCTTTTTGGGATGATGACAAAGAGCTGGATGGCAAGATGGATATTATTTGATAAAAAAGAGAAATCATGATTTAATTTTAAAATTTTTTTCTGGATGAGATAAAAAAACCGAAATTATTTTAATTTGTTTGAAATTATTTAAAGGATATTATTGTCAAGTTATGTTAAAAATTGACTAAAAATAATTAAGAATATAATGAAGGATATTTTTAAATTAGGTTTACAAATAGGGTTATTTTTCATAATTTTTTTCAAATTCAAATGTTTCACGTCCATCGTGCTTTAATTTAGTTTCATATTGTAATTATGTTGTAAAATTGTGGTTTGCTTGGTACTATAATGTAAAAATTGAAAACTTAAAACCACATATTGAAGTTTTAAGTAAAAAAAAAACAAATAATCTTCATACCAAAGTGTTTCGAAGTATAATTTTGTATTTCATCGCAATGCTAGACTAATTCTTATTGGATTTTTATATAAACTCTTTATTTGGACAATATTTTTCAAATTTTACACATTATTAATTTATTCTTAATTCAGGATTTACCAATGTTGATTTTTGATTCAATATATTAAAATCTTCTTCTTCTTTAATCTAAAATTCTTTTATGTGCAAGAATCTTAAAGTTCTCTAATTAGAAAAGGAGACATAACCTTGCGTTTATATAATATGTAAACATTGTGATGGACATCTAGTGGGCTAGTGAAAAAAATGGAAGGAGAGAGAGAAGAGAAAAAAAGGTGATGAAAATATAAATACAAGAAAAAAATTGCCACAACATTATCCGCATCATCCTTACAGTTTGAGACTTATTTCCATGTCATTCGTCCACTTGTCCTATAAATGCCACGTTGACAAGAAACTTAGCCGATGTTATGTCTACTTCTTCGTTTTGTCTAAATAAGGGATCCAATAATGAAAAATAATATTATGAAAATTTAATTAGATTCAATAAAAAATAAGAATTTGTTTAAGTTATTTAAAAATAGTTTAGGAATTTATTTATCATTTTAACCCATTTACATTGTTCATGATATGAATGTATATAGTTTTTGTGATTAACATGATGATTAAGTTGTCGAACACATTAATATTTCTCTATTAATTACTAACTTGGCCATGATTAAACGTCTTTTAGGATCAATATTTCTATAAACTGAAATTAATGTTGGGTACATTCGATGAACTTGAATTAATATAAATTACATGCGGCGTTCTTGACTTTTAACATGCTGATAATAAGGTAAATACCACTTTGGTTTAACCACCGAAGTGAGGAAATTACCGTGATAATCATGCATGGCGTTGAACAAGGAAGGGTTAATTCCAACAACAGATTCGGATGCTGACGTACCCACACAAAAGCCTTTCGATGATCCAATCCGTCAACTGATACATCATGCATGGCTAGCGTAGGGTCCCACTCCTACTCCCCCGCTCGGGTCTAGGTCGTTTTTTCCTCTAAAACCACCCACTGATTTCCAGATCAAATGACAAGATATGATACGGAGGACATCATCCCACGTGGTCGGTGATGGGCATGCAACATGTCACATTGCCATCGGTGGTGAGCAGCAGCAAATGTCCCATGTGGGCTCCATTTTGGTGGGCCCTCCACCGCCCACGCAGGAATTAGAAACAACCCAAAAGCCCAGTTGGCGAACTTTACAGAGCAGCCGAAGGAGGAAAAGAGAAGGAGATTTGTTTTTGCTTCGTTGGATTTTGACTTGGCATGTGAATTGGGAACCAGTACGTAGGACTGCATTGTAGCTTGTAGGAGGCGAAGCCACCACCAGGCAGGAGGGTCCAACTTTTACGAATCTTTAGGCACTATCAGGTGCCTGCTATCGTACGAAGTTTTAAGTTAGCAAGCATGTCGCTTCAGGGATCCACAACATGCCAGGAATAGTCCAGACTGAAATGATCGAATTGCTGGCTTCAACTTCAACACCACCATATTTTTGCTCAATTTACAGTTTCGGAGATTGTTACCGATTATATCAATTTCTTGGTAACCGATTCAATTTAGCTCCAACCTACGATTTCGGATTTAAAAGTAAGTGCCAAATAGCAATATTATGAATATGTTAAATTATATATATAACCCATTTTTTAATCCGATTTTGAAATATACATTCATGTTCGTTGAATAAAGCTTAGACGCAAAGGTATTAACAATTTTAAAAAAATAAAAAAAATAAGAATAATATCACTTTTCATAATAAATAAATATGAATCCATCCAACATGTTCAATACGTGTTGATGATTGAAAGTATAAGGAGCTATGCCATTTGTTAGTTTATCATTTATGGGTTGTTTTGTAAATTATTAATGATTTTTAAGTAAAACATATAGAGTAATGTAATATTTTTATTCTCTTTTTAGGTGTTTTGTATCATATGTTTTGCTTTCCAGTTCTTTGTTTTGAATTGTGAGACTGTTTTAAGTTTTTCTATTAATAAAAATGAATATTTTGGAGGAACAAAAAACAGTACTTTCGAGTCACACGATTTATTTACAAGAATTGGAATAGATGTCCTCACACATGCTTAAGTTATTAAAGAAAAAAAAAACTACATGTACCTTCAACAAATTTTAATAAAAAATAAAAGTGTATAATTAATAAACCTATTGCTTTTAGCAATAGTGGGGTTAAACCTCAAACCTCGATAACAGGCACCCATTATAGGGGCCGGTGCGGTGAATTTGAAGGGGCCAAATCTAACTGGCCAAAGGTTACGAGTCTAGCATTCAGACCACAGGTCTCAAGTGCTCGAATTTAAGATCTTACCCTGTTGGAACTGACTGAATTTATTCATTTGAAACAACTATTTTTGATACTATCCTAAAAAGTAATTTTGGTCGTAGAGAAACTGTAAACTCGTGTCCTAAACACCTGACAATGCCGCGGATTTTATTGAAAGAAAAAAAAAAAAGAGTTATCCCAACGCAGCCTAGAGGGTCGAAAGCTATAGATCCTCGGCATGACTCAACAGCCAGTCATGAATGTTAGCATCGGGGTATGTCCCACGTGGAGCCCACCGCCTTCTTATCTGATGTCGAAAGGTTTGCCACTTTTAACCAAAAAAAGGCACGAAGTCGTGGTCCATGTAACCTGCCACATCAGAATTTGATTCGTTTCTTCCAAGTAAATCATACCTATTGGTTTGTATCTTTGTGTGGCTTGGTCGGCCAAACTTTCCATATCAGCTGCGCTGCCTTCTCTAATAAAATATTATTTAATTGCTCACCTGTTTCTGTCCTAGAGCTGAAAGGGGTCTCCTGCAATTTATGAGTAGCAAATAACACTTCAGATTTACCTTGTTATGGCTGATTTTTAGATGGTCTAGTCCAAGGCAAGAACAGGAAATTTTATTAAAAGAAACTGTTTATTGGATGATTTGCCGACTATAAAAGCAGTTGGAATTGCTAGTGGCATAGTTAACAGATGGTAAATGAATAGTAAATTGACTAAAATGTGTGTGTTGGAACATGAATGGATGATAGTCAGGTCACCTCCAAGCCCGACTGCACGAAGCACACAATAACAAAACCAAGAGAAGATGATGGCTTAGCTGAAAATGGCTCCCATTATTAATTTGGCTCTCCAATCAAAAGTTTACAAACAAGTGTAATTAAATATAGCATAACCTCATCTCTAAGACAGACTTTTAACATTATTACCGAACATGCTAATTACCTTGTAGTCAGTGAGATGAGGTGTCAAAACCCAAGATTCTTTAAACCTCCCTCTCTCATCAACCTTTAGGCCTCTACACCTTTATATAAGCCACTCTCTTTTGATCACCTCTGCATAGCTCAAAGCGTTCTTTCTCTCTGCTTGCCTTCAATTGTTTGCCTGCTACCAAATTTATTTGTTGTTCTAATCAGATTTCCTTGGGAATCCTATGGCTACTGCTGAGGTATTCAATTCTTATTAAGTTCTCCATTTGAGATTGGTTTATCAATTCATTTGCGTTCATTAGCTCATCTATGCACCTAGTTTTATACCATTTGTCACCTGATCTAGTTTTAAGGATGGAGCTGATTGGAATAGTGAAAATGAAGATCATGTCAAACGATTATGATCTTGATATTCGTTATTGAAATCCCTTTTTGTTCTACGTATTTTGTTTAGACTTCATCTTTTAGAAACTTGATTTTCTTTATATACAGTAAGAACAGGATATAATACAATCACTTGTAATAGGTACTAGTTATAGTGGTTACAAAAGCTTATTACTATACTAAAAAGCTTAGTTCAAACAAGATTTACAAGACTGTTTGTATCCAATTCACATTTCTGACTCTTCACTTAAGTGGCAAATGATTCTGATTGCCCAATAATCAATTCAGTAATAAGTATGTTTTCTTACTTGATGTGTTCTGTAGGTTGTATCAGTTCAAACTGCACTTCATGAGGAGAAAACTGAAGAATCAATCAAGGCTCAAGAAACTACAAAAGAGGAGGTAGTAGCTGTAGCTCCTGCAACGGAACCTGTTGCTGAAGAGCCAAAGGAAGCGGAGCCTGAAGCAGCATCTGAACAACCCGTGGCTCCAGAACCTGAAGCTTCGACCGAAGTTGAAACCAAGGAGGTGGTAGAAGAGGCCAAGGTTGTCACTGAGGAGCCAGAGGTTGAGAAAAAAGAAGAGGACACTCCTAAGGAAACAGTACCGGAGCCAGTAGTTGTCGAGGAAAGCAAGGAGACCACTGAGCAAACTGCTGAAGAAACCGAAGAAACCAAAGAAACTAAGGAGTCTGGCGAAGCGGCAGCAGCAGAACCAGAAGCAGAGGCCCCAGTTGAAGCACCCAAAGAGGACGTTGCTAAGGAAGAAGAAAAACCAGCTGAAGCTGAGGAGAAGGTTGAAACAGAAGCCCCAGCTGAGAAGACTGAGTAACAAGCTTGTGAGATACAGATCAATCATCAATGGAAGTCTGTCTAGTGGCTACTGTTAGCTAAGTTTGCATGTCAAGTTAATTAGTTTCTATGTAGTTTCAATAAGGATGTTGTAATGTGGATGAGGCTGGGGATCGGGGAATGGAAATGACCAACCAATGATAACTTGCCATGTGGCACAGAGTTTTAAAGTTGCATTGGGGGGGTTTTTATGCTCATCTGTTCTCTCTAAGGGATGGCTCTTGGTCCCAAGCAGGTTGCTTAAATTTATTATTTTGCTTGTTTGTTTATTAGAAGAGGCCGTATGCGTGTTGTCTTGATAATAATAAATCCTAGTATCTTTTGTTTAACAATTGTCCTCTGTCCAATTTCATCCAATTGCTCAAGTATACCCAATTGGTTCTTTAAATGATTTAACCTTTAGGCTGTAGGAAAAATATACGGATATATAAAACTTGAGAAATAATTTTACTTTGATTAAACTTGTATCGGGCTTTTACGTTTTCAATAGTAATGCAAAGTGATTTCAGAATTCTGATTTGGGACATTTTATGAACCTATTGATCCCTAAAAACTCGAGGTGAAAACTTACTATAAAATCAAGCAAGAAACACACTTTTCATAATATAAAAACCTTGAGATTGATTTTCTTTTTCTAAGGGAGACTTTGGTTTTCACCTTAACTTCTTTTGGTTAACTGTAGTTCTATTTTAATGAAAGACCTTGTACCTACTTATAGTTTGCATTACCAAGATAATATGGCAAGGTATATTGCTATCCAAATAGGGTGCTTATCATGGGTGTTAATTCTAAAAAGTTTAAAATCTACTGCGTACACATGATGGCGAAGTCCTCCTACCACTCTCTCAATCGTCCCATTGCCAAGTTCATATTTCCGGAAGAAGCATCTGGAAATGACTTGTCTTGGGCTCCCATTGCCAAGTTCATATTGGCTAATTGAGTGTGTGACTACTTCATTTGAATTTTTGAGAGCTCTATACTAAAACATCGTTAGAGCTAGCATAGAGACATCATCTCTTTAAAAATATAGTATCTTGTGTGTCCTAAACTTATTTGATCACATTAAGTTGAGTATCTCAAATCCCTCAATAAGCATACTTCAACTTTTTTCAATTTGTAACTCATGTTCACAATTATATCATAGCTCTCAAAAACAACATCATGTGTCTACCTTAAATATAGTGCATTGCAGCAGTATCAAATAATCTTCCCTTTGCCCTCATGTTGTTAGTGTAAGCCTTGCAAGCCAATTGATTTTGTACTTGTAAAACATTGTATTAATTAGTCATATTTTATGTTAAATACATTATGAATATTTTATTTAATGTATGAGATATTTTTTTATATATGAGTTTATTTATAAAGAGTTATGAGAAACTTATGTAGATAAAGTCCTTAGAATGTAATAGCCTCACAAAGAAATTATAAAGATTATAATTATAAGATTATTTTGCATCTAAGCCTTGTTCTTAAATATATTTCTAGTCATTATATTGTCAAGAATAAGGATATTGGTAATGCTCCAAGGTTGATACATGCTAAACCTCCTTACTTTGGAAGTAAACAACTGATCTCATAGGTTGAAGTATATGGGATATTTGGAAGTGGTATATGGTTGGTTGTTAAGAAACAAGTTCACTAAACATAACCCGTTATAAGAGTTCTATTTAGTATTTTACTCAAATGTCTATGGAAATACTCTATTGTGTTAGTAGTGTAAGTAATCTTTCGACTTGTGCTACCGGGTCATCTTGTATGTGAATTGTGATGCTTTAATTTCATTTCTACAGGTCTGAAGGCAACTATATGTCTAAACAAGATGTTTTTGAGTATGGCATGAAGCATGCAAAGATGAATGAGTAGTCCAAAGAGGATTCATCATGCCATGTGATTTGAAAGGGACATATCTAATTTCCTCCTAGCTTATATTGACTAAATATCTTTGGCCAAGGCAATCTTGATAGGTTAATATTGAAGTTATAAGACTAATATGGATAAGTTGGAAAATAGACATCGAGCCAAGCGTTCTATCTATCCAAGATAAATGATAAAAGGATCAAATTATATTGAAATACTATACACTAAAAAAATTAGTAAAACCATATTGACTCTCTTGATATTTGGGTGGTCATGATGTATTTTACTAAATACCATTAATGATCTATAAATATAAATATAAATTCTTGGTTGAATTAATTTATATTTATTACCAACATGTTGGGTATTTAATGGGTCACACACATAAGGTGAATCATAGAAATTAATTTGAATTCAATTGGATGTGAACTAATTGATTTTATAGAGGCTTAATCCAATTAGGTATTAAGCTATATCAAATATGATTTGATGGAATATTAAATAAAGGTCCAGTTAGCCTAAGATATTTTTTAATCCTTATTAGATAAGAAATAGGTCAATTCACTCTATAAAAAAATCTTTTAGCCTTCTCTTGAAGTTATAGAAGAGTCTTGTTTTACTTTCTTATGTATTGAGATAGGATCACAGCCAAAAAGACAAAATGCTCAAAGTTGAGAGTTTGCTCACAAACTTTGGCTTAGGGATTCACACATTCTTAGTGAAGAGATTTCTGCAAATTATTATGTGGATTACCGTTAGAGGATGGGCAATTGTGCTACTATGGTTTGCTAAGTCCTAGTTGAAATACAAAAGTCAAAAATGAAAAGCCAAGGAAGACTCCACCAAAAAAAGCAGACATCAAACTTTTAAGTATGTTGAAATTTTTCTTTTGTGATTTTTTTAGATTAGTTTCAATTAAAGTGATTTATAGCTTAGGGGATTAAAATTTTAATAATATTCTACTACATATGATCACCTTAGCATGATTTGAATCCCCTTCACATCCCACTTACTTTAGAAAAACCATTTTTCCAATAATGTCCTGTATAATCGAATCATCCATGGTCTTAGCTAATAGACTAAAGTAACAAACATCCATTCCTCACTTTATGACATAGTTAAACGTCATCAAAGGTCTAATGAAGTTTTATTAACCTTTTTAGAACTCACATGATGAAGATACAAGGATCCATTTTTCCATCTCCCGTGTCATTCACAAGTGGAAAGTCTCTTTCTAAGTGAGTATGTCAAACTCCAAAACATCATACAAATCTTAGTCTAGTCACCCTTCAAAGCCTTTAATTTAATTTCTCCATTTGTTCACCATTCTAGGTGCCAAATTAGGTCTCACAACTAGCTTACTCTATAGGTTGGATTGTGGGTTAATCCATTGTAGGTCCCTTAGTTATTATTTTTTGTATGGACCTCATCTTGGAGTTTGTTTGGCTTGATTTCTTTTTTTTTTTTTAGCTTCAGAGCAATTATGAAGCTTTTATGAAAAATAATAATTTTTAAAATTAAGCTAAAACTGTTTGGTAAATTTACTTTTCTAAATTATTTTTTTCTAGATTCCAAACAACTTATATAAGCTCTAATTTTAGTTAAAATTACAATAAAAGGTAATGTTGAGATTATTTTTAATAAGTGAAGACATTTTTGAAAAAAAAGAAAAATTTTCTTCAAAAGCTAACGAGTTTTTAAAAAAAGAGAAGAGAAAGCTCATATTTGAAACTTTTCTTGAAGCTTTTTTTTCTTTTAGATTTTGTTATTCCAAAAAAGTTATTTTTTTTAAAGCTTCTCAAAATCCTATTTGGCTTGGTTTTTACTTTTAAGAGATAAATAAGTTAAAAAAAAATCGACCTAAACAAATACTTTGAACCAATCAAGGTGACATTTCAAGCTCTATTCGCTATATAAAGCATTAGAAGTTTGTCTCTCATTTTTGCTTGTCTTTAGAGGTGCCATAGGCGATTTCTTGTGAGTAAGCCAATCTCAAGCTTGTTGATATACTTTTTATATCTTTTGTGCTAATTAGTATATAGACATAAATGCGTCTTTATGGAATAAAAAATGTATAAATATTATTAATATCTCAAAAGTTCAATACAAAGATTTAATAAAAAAAAACCATTTATGAAGTCCTAAAGACTTAACATATGTCACATAAGAATACCTCAAAATAGATTTTGTCAAAGGATTCACAACTATATGACTAGTGAAAATATCTTTTAAGATCAACTTTTTTGTTGAATTAAACCTCTAATGAAGCCATTTTGCATATTAATGTATGTTAGCTCTCTAACTTTCAAATTGATCTCTTGTTTTGAAATGACAAAAAAAAATGATCAAAATTTCCTTTAAGTATTGACAAATCAAGCCTAGATATTCCTTAGTACTTTCAAATGAGTTTAAAAAGAAAAACAATGAAAAAAGAGTTTAAAAAATACTTTTTTGTCCAAATCTATCGATATATGTTCATTAGGTATCGATACATTTTGACAAGTATCAATAGAAATAAAAATATATTGATACATTTTCCTGAAAAAAGTCAAAATTTGCAAAGTTAAACTCAATCTATCGATACATTCTCAAAATGTATCGATAGAAACTTTACAAATGCTTACTATCTCAAAAGTATCGATACAAATGTATCGATACAAATGTATCGATACATTTTGAACAGAATGTTCAAATCTTTGTAATCAAGCCCAAAAGTGTCTAGGGTTGTCAACGGGTAGGGTATCCATTAATTTTGAGGTACACAACCCTAACCTTATAAAAAATTAAATACCCAAACCCTATTAACTACTCGAATAATTTTTGAAATAACTACCCTAACCCTAACCCCAAGATATTCCCACTACCTTATAATTACCCTAACTCGTTTAAAAACTCAATTAGATAAAAAAATTATTAAAATGTTCTTCATGAGTACCTAAACCTAAACCCGTATCCATATATAATAATATTTTTCTTACATATTTTATATAATTAACTATTAATAAAATTAATAAAAACACAAGTAATAAAATTTAAATTTAAATTATCAAAAACTATAAACTGTGTTTATAAATGAACATAATATATAATATAAATCAATATTATTTTATTATTTAGTAATTATTAACTTATATAATAGTAATTATATTCTTTATAAATGAACATAATATATAATATAAAGTGTATTTATTAAAAGATATTACAAGTTATATACTATAAAGTGTGTATATATATTATAATTGATAATTATATAAGTTATAATTTTTATAATGTTCACACAAAATAAAGAGTAAATATATTTATATTTAAAGTATATATATATATTAAAAGTTTTTTAGTATATTTATATAATAGTAATTATATTCTTTATAAATGAACCCAATATATATAAAGTATAGATATTAAAAGACCTTACGAGTTAATTAATAATCATAGTTTCATTAATTAATTTAATTAATTATATAAGTTTGTCCTT